ATCGGGGGGGGGGGGGGGGGGGGGGGGGGGGAATTAAAAATTTTTTTGATACAAATGAAAATACAAACACAATATGCCAAAATCTGTGGGACACAGCTGAAGCAGTACTAAGATGGGAGTTTATAGCAATAAACACCTACATTAAAAAAGTAAAAAGATTTCAAGTTACACAACCTAACAATATATCTCAAGAAACTAGAAAAGCAATAACAAACTAAGCCCAAAATTAGTAGAAGTAAAACAATAATAAAGATTAGAGTAGAAATAGAAGAAATTGAGAGTATTAGAGATTATCATGAACTAGACATCAACAAACTGGAAAACCTAGAGGAAATGAATAAACTCCTGGATACATACAATCCAGGCTTGAACTAAGAAGAAATAGAAAACATGAAGAGACCAGTTACATGTAACAAGATTGAATTAGTAATAAAAAGTCTCACATTAAAGAAAGGCCCAGACCAGATGGCTTCACTGCTGAATTCTAGCAAACATTTAAAGAAAATTAACATCAGTTCTTCTCAAACTCTTCCAAAAAGCTGAAGATGAGGGAATTCTTCCAAACTCATTCTATGAGGCAACATTACCTTGATACCAAAATCAGACAAGGATACAACAAACAAACTATAGGCCAATACGCCTCATGAACATAGATGCAAACATCTTCAACAAAATACTAGTGAACCAAATCTAGCAGCATATTGAAAAGACCATTCACCATAATCAAGTTGGATTTATTCCAGGGATGCAAGGTTGGTTCAACATACAAGTACATAGGCAATAAACATGATACATCACACATCAAAAGAATAACGGACAAAAGCCATATATGGTCATCTCAGTTGACACTAAAAAGCATTTAATAAAAATTAAACATCAAGATAAAAACTCTTAACAAAATTTTTTTAAAAAATAAACAAAAACCCTTACCAAATTAGGTAAAGAAGAAAGGTACCTCAACACAATAAAGGCAATACATGACAAATCCACAGCTAATACCATACTGAATAGGGAAGAGCTGAAAGCTTTTCCTATATTAACTGAAACAAGGATGCCCACTCTCTCTGTTATTCTTTTTTTTTTTATTCGTTTCCTTGGATGGCTGTCTCGTATAGGGATCCAAACTGTTGACCCTGGTATTATAACACTGAGCTCTGGGGCCGGCCCATGGCTCACCTAGGAGAGTATGGTGCTGATAACACCAAGACCATGGGTTTGGATCCCTATAAAGAGATGGCCAGTTAGCTCACTTGGTAGAGCGTGGTGCTGACAACACCAAGTCAAGGGTTAAAATCCCCTTACTGGTCATCTTTTTAAAAAACAAAACAAAACACTGAGCTCTAACCAACTGAGCTAAGTGGCCAGCCTACACTCTTATTCAACACAGTACTAAAAGTCCTAGCCAGGGCAATTGGGCAAGAGAAAGAAATAAAGCACATCCAAATTGGAAGTAAGGAAGTCAAATTGTCCCTTTTTGCAGGTGACATTTTTTTTTTAAAGATGACCGGTAAGGGGATCCTAACCCTTGACTTGGTGTTGTCAGCACCACACTCTCCCAGTGAGCCACGGGCCATCCCCAGATGACAT